GAACGATTTTGGTATCATTCGATTCGCCTCATCGAGACGAATCGAATGGTACCAGAATCGCTCGATTCTGATCACTATATCACGTGCTATTGACTGTAAAACTTACCTGCCCATACTTACCTTATATACTATAAAGTAATATAATTTATTTGGTTTGATTTATCAAATTACTATTATTTGACAAATTTTGCCAATATTATATACTTATTGGCATGACTATCTAAGTTAAAAAAAGACTTTGATGAAATATTAATTCACAACTATTTAAACTATTTAACAAAATATACAAAATTTTGTTAGTTATTTCAAAAAAACTATTATGAATAAGATATCACAATATAGCTGTCTTTAAGTTTTTTTTAACTAGGTCAATTAGCAATAACTAGTATATAGATATGATATATAAACATATTACAGCATATGACGTATATATTAATCCTTTATATAAAAAATAATTTTAGAATATAAATTTATTTTTTTTATATGTTTTTGCAAAAATAAATATCACAAATGATCAAATCAACTCTCCTCGATGATTACTTGTACCAAACTTATGGCTAATGAAAATATAAACTTGTTGAAGAAAAGTAGAAGAGACAATTATACAATAACAGTTTTTACAAAGGTCATAATTTTTACAATTTACTAAGAACTCCTCTGTATATTCGGCATGCAAATTAAAAGCATTCTTGTACAAGATAACTGACAAAAAGGTAATGCTCTTGTACAAAAAATTTTAATAAAAACACTGCTTCTGTTGACAAAGTTAGATAATAGTTGGTCTAAAGAAGAACAACAAGTAAGTTTTTAACACACTCTTTATTAAGTTTAAAGATATCTACAAACCAAAACGCTCTACCAAACTTCACTCTTTGCACTTTACGAAATTTTCACTAAAAAGTAGAAAAAGCAACGTATCTTCAACAAAAGATCAATATAATAACAGCTGCCAAAAAAAAAAAAACACATATACATATACGTGTCTACTTTAGGATAAATAGTATCAGATAATGTGATAATATTTGAAACATTGCAAAAAACTTGCTAATCTAGTTGAGATAACAATCAAAAGTTTCAACCTTGAAGCTCTACTTCAAGACCAGATGGTTTTTTAATATTTTTACAATTTGGATATAGACATAAATAACTAGCGTAAAGTTTAGTCTAGCTTATTTGTAATACTATATAATTTTTACAATCCTGCATGAATTTAATAATGCTATCTTTGTTTTCTTTTCTTTTGTTTTCTTTTTTCTTTTCATTATTTATTTTGTTTGGTTTTATTTGTTTAGGTGGACCAGAATTTGACATTGAGATATTTTCTTATTTTTCTTTTGCCCTTTGTATTTGTGTTTGTGCTTCATTTTAGAAAAAAGAAAAGTCAATTCTGATATAGTGTGTAGCACCCACACATAATCAAAGGATAATCTCTAGTAAGTTAAAGGCCAAAGGAAGGCTTGAAGTCCACTGAGGCTAGTTATATCTGACGAAAGCGTGGGTAAGCTGCTTTGTGAGAAGATTAGTATAGCTATTATTAGAAAATGTAAATTTCTTAGTTTAATCTCAAATAAAAAGTGGCAAGACAACCAAATTAAAAAAAAAAAAAATATCGCAAATAATTTGCAAATGATCTACATAAATTAGCCAATCAGACGAATTTTGCCTATGAGTGCGATATAGACTACGTATTCTTTTATCAAAATTTCCTTTTGAGGTTAAAATACTTTTTTATTTATAGAATTTCACTCACTCAAATGAAAAAAATTTTTGTTAAAAATTTTATTATAGTAAAATTTTCAATAGTTACTATGTTTTACTATAAAATTTATACGTGTTGCATTATTTATGATTGCAAAATGCACTATATAGTTACATTTTATATTTACATCATGACATTTCTATACTAGATTTTTTTTTTTCAACGATATTATATTTGCATCCTGATCCATAAGTATGCTGGTATTCTGGTTTCACGCTGTATTGCTTAACCAGATTAAAGTTTTCGGTAAAATAACGTAATTGTTTGGTTTGATACAAAATACGTGTTATTACGAAAATAATTCAATTGCATGAATGATTAACTGGTCTGACGCATCTCAGAATCAAATTTCGGTCTGACGCAATTCCGCATGATATTGTCAAAATAAAAAAGAAATCCGAGTCAGCCCGAACCTGAGATCTGGGCAATAAGCATATGGAATATAAATAAGAACATTATAAGAACCGGGTAATAAATAGTACAGTCAACCCTCTGTAAGTGCATATATAATATAATGCATTTTGAGCATTTATTATCATGCATTGTAGTTAGACTCCTTTGTAAGAGTATGTTTTATACGTGCACTGACGAGTGCACTTAGAGTTCACTGTACATATTAAGCCGTTCTGATCCCAGTTGTAAATTTTTAACATGAGTAAACCGTTTTGATACGGTTGACCCGATTTGCTATAACCCGGTTCCAACTCTATTCACTTCACAAGATCTATTATCTGTACACGTGTTTGATATTACTGCCGTTGCTCTTGTTGCCGTTGTTGCTCTTGCTGCTCTTGTTGCCCTTGTTGCTCTTGCTGCTCTTGTTGCTCTTGTTGCCGTTGTTGCTGTTGTTGCAGCTCTTGTTGCAGCTGTTGTTGCAGCTCTTGCTGCTGCTGTTGTTGTTGTTGCAACTGTTGCTGCTGTTGCTGTGATATTAATTTAAATTGCTCGTTTAATCGTTGGTATTCTTCTCTAAGTGTCATATTTGAAGCTCGATAATCTTCATTTATTAGTCTTTCGCAATAATTAGTTAATGCTGTTGGACATTTGTGCTAAAAATAATTACAAAAAGACGGATTAGTGTATGTCACTTTGGTATGACAGAATAAAGATGTTCGTACTTCGGCTTCTTTTTTGATAAGGTCATTATATTTATCAAATATCACTTTCCGCTTTTTATAAAATTTCAAAGCAAGTTTAGTTGCTAAAATATAATTTTAAAAGCAATAAGCAAATTTGAAAATAAATTTAAATAAATGTCGATAAATTATCGGAAACACACCGTCCAAATCTGATGTCTGATAATTGCCTTTAAAATCATCGTCCGGATAATCAAAGATGTTATATGGTAAAAGCCTTGCAACAGCATCTTGGTAAGATCGGAATGGTGTCTTATAATCAGGGTTATAAACAGCGATCTGATCATTCTTTATTGCAGTCTCAAATCTATAAATTCAAATAATCAAATAAATTAACAACAGATAATATAAAGTGTTGTTAAATGATTTTATTCATACCTTTGCACTACATTTGCATGATGATTAATTTCCTCAGGTGTTCGTTGAATTCCTGTTGAGTGGAACGTTCTTTTAATACCACGTGACATCATTGAACGGGACGCATTCGCTCCATTAGAATAATATTGCGATGCTGGGGTGATATTACTGTAATAAGGAGTCTGAGGTGTTGAAGAATGGTATTGTTGATATTGATATTGTACATCATCTTGTTGTGATCGTTTTTTAGAATATCGACCAGTCTTGTTGTATCTCCGTGTCGTGGATCTCGAAGACCCATCAATATTCATTTGCGAATGTTGGTACATTGATTCATCTGGTATTGACCTTGCAACGTATGGTGATGTCAGTGTTGTCGGCTGGATATTGGAGCCCCACTGGACCTCCATATATTTTAATGGTTCTGAT